AAATATCCTTTAAAAGGCAACTGTCACTAGCAATATGCTATCACATGGGGGGCTTGTAAGCTTGAAATAGCAATTAAAGTAAAGTTTAAGAAAAAAAAAAAAGTTTAAAATTAATAATAAAATGTAAAAATAATTTCACAAATTCAAAGTCCCCCGCCCCCGCAAGAACGCGTGTCTTCACGTAAACACGCAACGGGTTAGCCTACATATGAAAACGATCGTGCTACACATGTTTGGTATCGCCGCACACGCTGGAGTAAGAGCAATAATTCTTGGCCCAATATTTATGCGTATTTCCAAACTGAAGACCTGGGGGGGCTTTTAATGCGTTGTCTATGGACTCTTTGGGGTACTGAATTTTGTGCGCAGTTTCACGGACGCACACGATTTTTAACCTAGGCATGTTGGGTATCTATTTACTCATTGTAACCCTATCTTTTATATTTTATAAAACAAATGGGTATTTTATTGCGTTTTGGGACATTGAAATTAATTTTTCACTAAATTTTTGGGTTTGATAAGGAGTTAATATTGTGCAACATAAAAATTTGCAATGGCCACCGTTTTATACTGTAGGGTCTTGGCTTTCAGAAAATATATAATGTTTGAGTAATTTTCAGACCTAAAATGTGGATTATAACATGTAAACAAAAAATGAAAAAAAGGCCTCGGTCATGAAGGGGTTAAAACAAGACTTGTTTTCTTTGAGGCACACATCTAGTCCAGCTTACACATGGGTTTTGACTTCATGTTTTTCTCACTGTGCCTTTTTCTGTTTCTTTACAGCAGCGAATCATAGTAAGTAATTTTATAATTTATTTATATTAAGTATTGTTTACACAAATTACTTGCTGTGTGCTTCATGTGTTTTGTTGCATCACATGTTTATACTAGGGATGCGCCGAAATTTTGGCGGTCGAAAATTGAACTTTTGGCAAAATGCCGAAGTACCAACTTTTGGCCGAAATTGCGGTGCATCCTTAGTTTCTCTCCTCCCCGCTGTGAGCTGCTCTGTATCCCCTCTGACACAGCGCAGCATCCAGCATAGAGGAGAGAAACTGTCAGAGCAGGCTGAATGGTGCCAGGGAGGAGAGCGCTGTGAACACCCGGCGTGTCACAGGAAGCTGGCCTCTCCTCCCGCCCCGCACTTCCAGCCTCCTCTGACCAGAATGGCGCTGTCACAGAAGCATGGGCCGGCGCTGAGGGGGAGGAGGTGGCTGTCAAAATAGACCAAGCTCTCCTCCCTGCTCTGCCGGCTCGGCTGTGACAGCGAGTCAGGATGGAGAGCGGTACAAGCAGTCAGCGATCAGCTGATCGCTGGCTGCTTGTAAATAACTAGACATAGTAACTCATACTATGTACCAGTTATGAATAAATTGAAAGTGATCTACATCACTTCCTGTTCATTCATAATTGTGTACATAGTAAACATACTATCTCCACAATGTATGAATTAACAGGAACACTTAGTATAGAGAAGGGATGCTTCGATGCCTAGCCCGATACTTCCGGTATCGGGAAGCGCGTCATTACACGCTGCTCGGCTTCCTGATTGGCCGGGAAGCCGGCTCCATGCTCCCTCGTCACTTGTGACGAGAGAGCATGGAGCC